CATTCGCCTTCATAGCTGTTTTAGTCGAAGTCGAACAAATGGCGATGTGCATTGAGTAGTGACTGAATGTTTATTGTTTATAAACAGTAACTGTTACTTGCAAGCCTGACTCTAACCGATCAGCTGGTCTACCCAACGGGTCTACCGCCAACTTTCATTGCTATAGATTATGACGTCACACTGTCATATTGATTCACCTATGAAAGCAATATCGTATTCACATCAACGCGGAGACCGGGTAACCAGGGCAGCGCCAGGGTTATTTTGTGTATGGTAATTATGTAATTTAATATAATAAATACTCTTAATAATATACTTATCCATCATTTTTATCTATCCTACATTATAAATAGTTAATGTTTCTTTGTCTATTTCTTAATTAACTAAACTAAAACAAAGGTGAAAAATGTTTGTACCAAACACTGTACTGAAAAATATTATTGATAAGTAATGACTATCGATAGCCATAAATTTATATTTTTTTGTAGGACACCCGAACTTAGGAATGCTACAATACGGAATATATAAATCTCAAAATGTATTTGATACCTTCTATTTAATATTACTCTCAGTGATGACGTCTATTTGGAGAGTTTTGAAACAATATTTGATAATAAAGCAATTAAAATAATAATCGAGTCTTGATCGTTTTTTTATTAGAAAATAATATGTAATAGCTACCTGCTTACAGTAAATGTGTTAGATATACATACGGTCATTGACATTGTACTGAGCCATTTGTGTTTATATTATTTTTATGTACGAATGGAAGAAATGTAATTAATCTTTATCCACGGGAACTCTGCCGACAAACTATTGTTATAGTTTGGCAGAGATTTCAGTTATAATCAATGTGTGTATTTAGTAAATCAATAAAAAAAGAAGTATTTTTCTTATGCTTAAAGTAAAAATAAGGACTTTTTGGCGGGATCGGGAAGCGTCAATCTAGCAGTTTTGTTTTTCTTGTTAAAAATTGTGTTGTGGCGGATGTTAGTGTCTAATAATGGTGGATTATTAACCACTAAGTGTTCGGGAACATGCACAAGTGTTGGCAAGTGAAACAAAATAGCGGAAAGTGTCTTTCGACGTTCCCTCCAAGTCCACGAGGAGGTTCCAGTAAATCCCCACACTTTTACTGAAACATGGGGAAAGGGGGATTGACTTGACTGCCACTTACTTTGACTTGATTTATTACTTTAACCACGAGTGCTATAGTATTTGTATACATTTTAACACTTGACATTGGCCAATTAGAAAAAAAAGTAAAAATGACTTTATGGATTCAACGTTTAAATTGCATTTTAAATTTAGTTACAAGTGTTGTTTAATATTATTTATGATTTCATACATTTTTATAATGAATCTCTATAACATTGCTTAATTACTTACGCATCGAATGCGTGGCTTTAATAAAATAGCAAAAAAGAAATGTGTTAATCAATTGCCTACAACATATAAACTATTGTTGGGTTTTTTAGGTAATAAATAAACCTTAAGAAAGGTGCCTAATTGTTAAAAAAATCTGAATGAATGAATCAATACTTAATTCTCAACTGGCGTTCGGTTCAGTTTCCGCCTTTCAAAAACCTTTTTGTGTTGGCATACCGTTGTATAAATTTCTGAATGGCAAGCTATGGTTCCAGGTAGGTTTACCTGCTTACTTTGATTCCTAGAATTTCCTTCTTCAATAAGCACACGTTTGTTTTTCTTAGTATTTCGTGTTTATACTTATATATACCTAGTCATCATTTGCACAGATAATCATAAATAATTCATCAAATGTCACATATTTGAATGTATTTTTGACGTCAGGACTTTCGCAAAGGCTTTTCAGCGGATGAGGTTGACTGACTCAATAAAAATGGAAATATTTCAATGATCACCAAAAAATAGTAAATGATCACCCCAAAATACAATAGTTGGTAAACTAAAGGTTATGTTTGGCTACGATTTGTATTTGTTTGAGGATCATTTACTATATTTTTGATAATGACTTAAATATGAGACAGTAAAAATTACAAATTTCAGTTCTTCTCATGTTAAGCTCTTAGTACCGAACGTGTCGGCCTATAATAATTATTACCAATCATTGATTATATTAATAAATCTATAATTTTACTTTGTGAGAGATATAAATCATTCATTCAATCTCAATGGATACTGCATACTGGTCAACGGAGAAGTTTTTTAATTTTATTTTATTAATACTTATATGAACAAAATTATGTATGAATATAGTAAAATGCTTGTGTTCTCAGAGAATAGTAAAATAACTAGCAAACCAGTAAACCAAATGTTCACTAAAACCTGATTTAAAAAAAGAAAAAAAAAATGAATTTAATTAATTGAGAACTTCGGAGATTTTGTGTGGTTTCGTTTGAAATTCGTGATTTCTCGAAAACCGGAAGTGCTACGTTACTCAAATCCGGTCTGTAGTCTTATCAGACTATTCTTAACTTATAACTTAAACATTCTCTTTATCTATCTCTTACGGTTTGGCCGCTGAAACAGCACCACAGACAGACGGATGGACGGACTGACGGACGGACTTGTCTAATAGATAAGAGATATGTTAATAGATAAATAAACAGGTTGCAAATGAAGATGACAAACAAAACTAAGAATTGTGATTTGCTTCGAAACAATATGAAAAATTCAGAAATGGTGCTGCTATTTTTTTTATTATATGCAGATTTTATGTAAGTTTTTTTATATTAGGAATTCCAAGAGCAATCATTCATTCACAATAACTCTAAAAGTACAGCCTTATCTACAGACGTCTGCATTTGATTGTTACTCTATGTAAAAATAATATTGTTATCAAACAAAATGCAACAAACAACATTAGGGATCAAAGCAACGTACTTAGGTATTTTGTTGACCGTTTTTTATTCATTGTTCCAAGTTTTGTTATGAAAAGTGCAAAATGAGATGTGTGGGTATCTGAAATTACAACGAAGTCTCCGAAATAACTAATCTGAGAGGTTTATCGTTACCGTGATATCTTTTAATTTGCTATTTCTAAAGTGTTTCAATAATTTTAAACTCTGTTGAAATTAGTTGACATCTTTAAAACACCAAATTGGATGGTACCTATATAAGTCGAAATAAGACATTAACCTTGGTTGGTTGTACATATTAGCAATCTTATTTTTATGAAATTGGATATAACATGGCAAAACCTCATTGTCGATCTAAACCGTATCTGTATAGCAAATTTGCATAAGTACTGCAAGTAATACAACATCTCAGATAAAATACATATTGTGATTTGGAAACAGTACTTAGTCTACTATGAAATGGAATTAATTAACATGATTTTATTTAATATTTTTATTTAAACTTGAGAGCTCAAAATCAAGTTAGTAAGTAAAGTAGCTCACAAAACACTTTCACCTCGTAAAATAGAAATGGCTGAGAACAAACAATATATATTTATATCCGCTGTTTATCAGGATGACTCAAGTCCACATTATGACGGTATTCATACTGAAGTTATATCAAATAGCAGAAACATATTAACATAAAGAAATATATTAAATTATGGAAAATAAGCAATGAAATTTATAAAATTGTTTTGTATTTCAAAGTTAAATCCAATGAAAATACACCAAACATTTATGCATATAATGAATCAGAATCAGATAAGTTTATTGCGTTTCTTGCTATTAGATAATGAGGTAAAAATTGCGCTGTCACTCACTAAAGAATAATTGTTTAAGATAAGGTTAGGACGATGTGTTTTTCTCTACCATTTTTACTGTGAATACATATTGCGCTTAGTTGAAAGTTCGCTTTGTCATCATAAAGGTTAAGTGGTGCCATCTACATCAGCAGCTTTTCTTAATAAACTTAATTCTAATTTCAGTTGTTTATATGGCCGCTTTAATAGCGTCATTATAATTTTGATAACACATACCAACCTTTATTTTAATGAATGTTAGTGGTTAATCAGTATAATTTGCTCTACATTACGAATCAGCAATAAAGTTGTTAAGTATTTGTTTGTAAAATTATATCAATCAAAACGTGACTCCGGTGGAATTTGGAGTAGATATAATTGAAACTTTATAAACTATAAGATGATAATCTCTTTATACCAGTTACTTTGTCACGTTTTAGTACTTCTGAGCTAATGTCTCATCAGGATATTCGCACGTCTCCGTTTAGTATAGTACGCTATCTGCTTTTATGGTTTAGGCTTTTTCTATATTAAACTGTTTAACAATAGTGTAGTTAACGATAGCTAGAGATTATAGTTAACAGGAACAATTGATTACATGTACGCTAAGAAAAATACATCATTTTCCCGCCAAAAACTTGGACGCATAATAAAAAGGGTTAGGTAATTACACCTTTATGTAATTAAATAAAGCAAATGTTTTAGTTTATTATGTAATGTTTAGTATTAGATGTATACATAATTATAAACATATAAAAGTATTGCTTTGACTTCAAACGGTAACACCTACGTGAATTAGGTAGAGAAATTTAGAGAAAACCTAATTAACGTGTTCAGACTTGTCATGGTTGTATTGGATTGTCAAATACAAAATAAACCTACTTGTATAATGAGGAAATATTAAATATTGTTTAAATAAGTATGAATTGAGAAATTAGGAGGTTGCAGGTAATTATGAAGCTTTTGGACTTTGGACTCTACTTTTTCTTATGTGTGAAAATCCAGAAGCAGATATTAGGCAATTGTTTTTTAAATCTTCATGTACTGAATGCAAAAAAAATTGATTGTAAGTATAAGAAACCGTTGAATGTATCATGTATTAAGGCCTTAACCGCTTCATAGTACAGTAAAAACGTGGTGACATAATTAAACCGCTTTGTACACGATTTCAGTTGTGGGAATCGTATAATATCCTGTGAGAATTGGATGGATAGTGAAAAAGAACTTCTGTGTCCATATATCATTTCATTAACATAATTATATCAATGGTTACAATAGTTAATTTTTAAAAATATTATAGGTTAGAATAGTAACTTACCACATAGCGCGGTTCCATATTCCTTCCAATGTGATCGAGTTTTCGCGGTCATCGCAGTTGTTATATTTTATATTTTTGGTTGAATATTACGTTACTGGGTTTTTGGAATGAGATTATCTTGAGCACTGATTTTATTTTATTTGAAAAAAGAAACTAAATAAAATAATTCAAAACCATATTGTATGGTATATAATAACGATAAATACTTACTAAGAACTATCTAAATATCACAATAAACTATATTCGATTAAAAATATTAAATGGGGGTTTTGAAAGAAACGTTATAACTTATTAGGCTTCATTTTGGAAGGGTTATGTGTTGTTGGTTTGCTGGTACATAGCGAGAAGACGCGTGCAGTGTTTAAGCGCGGCAGCGACGAGCGAACGACTGAATGTTGCAGCGAACGAATTGAAGCGAATGAACGAACTAATCACTGAGCGGCAAGAGGGACGGAATGAGGCAAAACGGCGCGGGCGCATGCTTTTGCCCCGAGTTTATCGCATGGCGAGTAGCTCTTGTTCAGATAACGAGAAGGTCGATAACGCGACGCGTCCCGACTGCGTCCCGATCCACTCCCGAGCACGATGCAAGCATCCCGACCCGACTCCTCTATATCTGCTGAGACAAATTTATTTATAGACATTATCTACCAAAAATAACACTGACAATCTTTTTGAACTGAACATCACGAGACTAGGCAAATAGCAACGTATGTATCGTTTCAGACACCGGTGTTCCGTAGATGATAAGACTCAAAATGTAACAAAATTAAAATTGTAGCTGTGAAGTAAAAATTGCGGATGACCCAATAACTTTATTTAAGCTCATGTTTTGGGTGCAATATCCTCAACTTTGATTACTCTACATATTTTCTCGGACGAATGTAGAAATTTTATTACAATAGTTATTGCGGATGATAATAATAATTTGAAAAGCTAGTTTATTATAAACAAAATGCGAAAGTTTATTGAAAAAGCGTAGGCAATGATATAAATATTTTTCATAATAAGGTTATTGAACTATTCTTTCCAACCATTGATTTTACAAGTGCACTCTCAGTGTACCCACTATTTAACATTGGTGTCCATTCTGGCATGATTCTCTAAACTTAAACTAAATTTAACATCAGTCTCTCCTTTTCAATCTGTGTAGAGAATGACAAGAATGCACTGTTATCAAATTTAATTTTAGGTTTAGAGAATCATGCCATGATTATGCCAGAATGTCATTTACTATGAAATTTGATGTGAGAATAACTATGTAAGAATGAATTATAAAGTCAATGTCAATATACAAAGAAAGTAATATGAAACAATTTGCAGTTAGCAGAGGTATTAATTTGAGAAGATATTCTCTCCATAATCATAATATAATAGATATTAGGTACTACTCTACACAAGTATGTAGAGTAAGCGTCGCAGAAATAAATCCTGATTTAATTCTGTGGTTTGTGTACACCGGCTTGTACGAATATTTTGTCGCCTTCCGCTACTGAGAGTCGAATCTCTGTGGTTCCGAGTTCGAATCCTTGTCAAACGAATTTAGCAATTAGTGTAAATTTTGTGTTACAGCCCCTAAAAGTGGTAGTAGTACGTAGAGCAAGCAAGGTGTAGTTAGAGCGCCTGCCCGGGCAAGTATTCTTCACCTGTCACGAATATTTTGGTGACCTTCGCAGCTGAGACCCTCAGGTCAAGGAGTCTTTGTGATTCCGAGTTCGAATCCTCGTCGGGACAAATTAGTGTACTACGGCGATTTTTACACTGGCCCGAAGTACGCTGCGTGGTGCAGATCTGCATCCTCACGCGAGAGTGCATATCTGCATCATCGTGTAGATTTCGCTGTACAAACTCATGTTTCTCTGCGTATAGGCGCGTGATCTGCAACACTCAAGTAAAGAGAGCAAAGGTACACGATGTTCTACTTTAAACAGTCTACAATACAGTTTTAACTAGTTTCTTAAACATATTATAAAACAAAGCCTCGCCGCGTCTATTTATGTTTGTTTGATATAATCCCAATAACTACTGAATAACTTTCCATGCGGTTTTCACTATCAGTTAGGTTCTTAGTTGAAAATTCTTCTAGAAAAAACACCACATGGTCCGTGCATCTTGTTCAGTGTATCCGCTCGGATAGTGGAGGCTGCGGGTTCGAGTCCCGTCCACTGCCTGGACTTTATGGTTTTTTTCTAGTAAAATAGTATTTAGATTAAAACATAGCAGTTAAAAGCATAAAAATAAAATATAATAAACATCAGTTAGATATGTATGTTTTCACAGAAGACAGGTCTGCATGTATAATAAATGCCCGAGAACAAAAACTCCCCACACCGAAGCAAAGTCAGGGGCGACATAAATATAACATTATTATTTTATCATACTGGGAAAAGCGGTTGTTGTGTTTTTTATAGGATGGAGATGAAAATAAATAAATAATGAAAATATTAGCAGAGCGATGAATATTAGGCGAGGGGCCTACAACAATTTTAGACTAATAAACTTTCCATGTAAGTACAGCTTGCCCGACTGTCGGAAGCTGTACTTACAAAATATAAAGGGTCATTGAAGTAGTGTCTCTGTTCATACTGGATATAGCTTCCGCTATACAGTAGCAAACTTCTACCTTCCCTAAGACCATAGTAAAATAACGTTACCTACTAGTATCGCCTTTCTCTTGGTGGGTAAGGTTCCACGGGGTAGTGGACTGGGTTTGGGCCAGCGGAAGCAAGGCTGGAAAGTCACAATTGTTAATTTTGCTATACTTATTTTTTTTGGTACCTAATATTTTGCGTTTGGATGAGTAAGGAACGCAATTGGGTTGAATTTAATAAAGTAATAGGTTGAGTTAGGAAGAAGTAGAAGTTTGGAATGAGGAAGGATGAGACGTCATAGGATGAATATGTAACGACGGATTCTGTCCATATAACGGAGAAAGAGGTTTTTTTATTCTTTGGTTTGTGGCATCAACTATCCTTCTGACTAGCCTCTTGTTATGATTGATATTAGAGGTTTCTAAATTTTCTGCACAGTGAGTGATACAACATATTATTTGCGTAAATCAACTAATTTGTTCACAAGATTATTAATGTGTCGATGCTATGTTTAGTAGGATATGCAATATTACCTATATACATCTTACATTCTGTATGAAAGATGTTTTGGCATCATTCTCCTAATTTAATTTACATTTTGGTTGCGAGCGGTAGTGTAAACATTTAGTAGATATTATTAGTAGCTGCTAAGTTAATCATTATGACAAGGTTTATATTAAGCACGGACCTGAAAATATTAAGACATTTGCCAAACTAAAATTTTACGCGGTCGTGGGCGTTTGAAGTTGTCATGGAGGATTATGTCAATCGCATTATAGTATATATATATCCTTTGTTAAAAGTCTGTTACCAACTAAATTGTAAGATTTAGGTATTTCCAATAGTGTATTAGATTGTCAATAATTGTTTTCCACCAAATGGTAGTGGATGTAGTGACAAAAACAACTACAAGATAGTCACAAGGTAAAATAAACTGGACTGTTAAATATTTTTATTATAGCAATTTGTTCATTACGCTACCGAGATAAGGATGAATTTGCTTTGTTACTTTTCTGAAATTCGCTTCGATGCGCTTCGACTCTACGTTGGTAATAATTGACCATAATACACTTTATAAAAAGAATACTACCTGTACTAGACCAAAAGGTAATGACCGGAATGTTCTTTAGAATTCGCCTCTTCGATAGCTTTCCTTTCCAAACCAATTAATGTTATATTTGATTATTAAATGAATTCCCAACGGTAGCACTGGAATGGAAATCGAGGCTTACCCACCTTCACACTGAACTTTGAAAGTGTGACAGTGTGATAGTCGGAAAAGAAAATTTCCTACATTAGCACTGGTGTTATGTTTGGTGAGATGGTCGTGAATGCATGGAATTATAATATAAAAAGGGTATGAATAATAAATAATGTATGAAATGATTTATTATTTATTTGTAAAAATGATTTATTTAAAGCACGTAAATCACACTAACTTTAGTATAATAATTTAGTAATGCAAATTTTTAGGAAAAACAAAAAATCTAATCTATTGTTATTTTGGCGTTATGATTATTTAAAAGATTACATTCTGCTTGCATGACATTATTAAATGTACTTATGGGAAATCGCTGGTACCTGACATACAGTTTATACTAGTGCAGATACCAACGCTCCAATTAAAATGTAATTGATTAAAAATAAATCTCGGCATTTATTCACGTACCTAACTATCATCCAAGCACAACTTTTGACAGCTCCATAATCGTATCGCTTCGTCAAGGTTTATATGAAAACTAATCTGCAGATGCAAAAACTATCTGTGTGTGTGTTATGCTTTCAGAAGAACAATGATAAAAGCTCAAGGAAGAATATTTATACGGATAAAATGTTAAATCATTATTTGTATAAATACCGAGTAATCTCTCTCATATCGTATCTCTCTTACTACGGGACATTGCCGAAATTTCTTTATATATAAAACAGAATCAGCCACAGAACAAAAAAATAAGACGCAATAACAAACTGGCTCCTTCCAAACAAAATTTTAAGATGACGAGAAGATTACGGACCTGTCAAAATTTGTACTTGGGCCTCATGTAGTTTCATTATATACTCGCGTGGACAATATTATCGTGCATGAAACAGCGTGTAGGAACTATGCGTTAAAGGTGTTCTCTTATCGACTATATACAGCTTTGTTCTTGCAGTTTGATAAGTCGATCACAGATACTATGTGTGATAATTTTCCGTGAAATTGAATTGTAAATGTGTGTCATTTTGATGTCTGATGTAATAAGTACACAATCATTTTAAACTATATATAAGTAATGATATGAAATTAGCTTACAAGAACTATTTTTTACTGATAAACAATTTAGAACAGAAATTATGAATACAATATTGTATTGTGTACATACTTATAAAAAAGAGAGTCGTAAGAGAGTAATAAAGAGTATTTTTTTATCATGTTTGAAGTCGCTGGTAACGTAAAATCCATTCCGTTTACCCTGTTAATATAATTACTTAACTAAATGGTAGTAAAACTGATTTTACGATACTGTCAAGTAAGATATTTATTTTAATCAGTGTACATACATACAAAAAAACTTATTGACCGAATTGAGAATCTCGTCCTTTTTGAAGTTAGTTAAAAAGTAACTGCTTTAACAAAGAATACATGTAGGTAATTGCGTCGCATTAATTAGTTCATGGTTATGTCTAGGGTTACCAACTTTTTTTCTATCAAATATAAAATTCAAATCTTTTTTATTGCGAGTACAGGTTTATAATATAGTATTATAGAATATAGTTTTTTCGAAGCTGTAATCTCTAAAACTATAGTAGATGGCAAAAAATTTAAAAATATATAAAATATATGGGGACAAATTATTTACTATATTTTTGAAATGAATTTATTTTTGCTGGTCTATGCCTAAAT